CAAAGATCTGGAGTCAGAAAACTAAAAGGGAAGAGGACACTCAGCATTTCTCAAGCTGGGGGAACTAAAGAAAAAATTCTAGCCTCAACTTTCACTATTGAAGGATTCTCTGGGCAAATTATTGAATGATGCAGAAAGCATCAAAAGAAGAGGGAAGGAATACACACAGTCACTGTACCAAAAGGAAATGGTTGATGATCAACCATTTCAAGAGGTAGCATATGAACAAGAGCCAATGATATTGAAGGAGGAAGTCCAAGGTGCGTTGAAGGAATTGTCAAAGAACAAGGCACCAGGAATCGATGGAATAAAAGTTGAAATCTTTCAAGAAAGTAAGGCGGCACAGGAGACACTCACTTATCTATGCCGAGAAATTTGGAAGACAACTATCTGGCCAACTGATTGATAGAGATCTGTATTTGTGCCCATTCCAAAGAGAGGTGACCCAATGGAATACGGAAATCATCAGGTAATATCTTTTATAGCCCATGCAAGTAAAGTTTTACTAAAGGTAATACAGACATGGCTGCAAGCATACATGGACAGAGAAATTCTAGAGGATGAAGCCAGATTCAAAAGACGACGTGGAACCAGGGATATCATTGCTGATGTCTGATGGATCTTGGCTGAAAGCAGAGATTATCAGAAAGATGTTTACCTGTGCTTTATTGACTACACAAAGGCTTTCAACTGTGTGAATCATGAGAAACTATGGACAACATTGTGAAGTATGAGTCCTTTGGTTAGTAGCTGAGTACTTAACCATGTGCAATAGCCCAGTACTTCATAAAGAAAGATAAGATAGATAAATAAGTAATGAAAACATAAAATCTGGTAACAGTTGTGCCAGGCACTTCACTTCACTTACCCAATAGCCATTGCTTCTTCACCCCTTGTCGGAATAAAGATTTTATTCTAGTATTCAACTAGACTTGACAAAATAAATTTTTTAAAAAAGGTTTTATTGTGAGTAATGTGATAGTTTACATGGGAGAACATTAGCTTTATATTCATCCTATCGTATATCGTTTCATTGCCATGATTACAATCCTTTCCATGCGTCATCAGACAACCAAAGGGTACACCTTGCAAGCCTGCCCTCGGTTGTCAGCACACAACAAAATTAATTTTATTCAGCACTTTCATGTACATATAATATATGCTCTGAAGGATCTTAGGCAAGCTGCTTAAGCATTTTTTTAATTAAGTTTTTATTGTGAATTGACTGATAGTTTACATGGGAGAACATCGGTCAGCTTTACACTCACCCTATTGTATTTCGTTTCATTGCAATGATTACAATCCCCTCTATGCATTATCATTCAGCACCATTTGCTTCCATTCCCTCTGGGTTTTTTTGTTTGTTTGTTATTTTGTTTTGGATGTACACTGAAGCACTTAGGAATATATAAGGCTTAGTTTCCTCACCTGTAAAATAGGATGCTTACCTACCTGATATGATTTTGTGAGGATTAAGCTACATAATTTATGTACATAAAAGACCTAACACAATATTTGTCACCCAGTGTATGCTGAACAATAATTAGAGAAGCTGAATTGTATGAAGAAGAGTGTGGCAGCAGAATTGGAGGAAGACTCATTAACAGCCTGCTATATGCAGATGATACAACTTTGCTTAGTGATGGCAAAGCGGACTTAAAACAGTTACTGATGAAGATCAAAGATCACAGTCTTCAGTATGGATTGCACCTCAATTTAAAGAAAATGAAAATCCTCACCACTGGACTAATAAATAGCATCATGATAAATGGAAAAAAGATTGAAGTTGTCAATGACTTTAATTTGCCTGGATCCACAATCAACACTCATGGAAACAGTAGTGAAGAAAATCATATGATGTATTGCATTAAGCAAATCTGCTGCAAAAGACCTCTTTAAAGTGTTTAAGAGCAAAGATGTGATATCAGTTTGAGGATGAAGGTGCGCCTGACCCAAGCCATGTCATTTTCAATTACCTCGTGTGCCTGTGAAAGTTGGGACTGAATAAGGAAGGCCAAGGAAGAACTGATGCATTTGCAGTATGGTGTTGGAGGAAAACATCGAAAGAACCATGGGCTGCTAGTAGAAGAAACAGATCTATCTTCAAAGTACAACCAGGATACTCCTGAGAAGCAAAGATGGTGAGACTTTACCGCTCTCATACTGTGGGACATGTTATCAGGAGGGATCAGTCCCTAGAGAAAGACATCATGCTTGGTAAAGTGGAGGGTCAGCAAAAAAGAGGAAGACCCCCGATGAGATGGGCAGCAACAATGGGCTCAAGTGTACCAGCAGTTGTGAGGATGGTACAGGACCAGGCATCATGTTGGGCATAAAGTTGCTATGAATCAGAATCACCTAACAACAAACAAGGTTCAGTACAATAGTATTAGGCTGTTTCCTCTGGGCTCCTCATGCTTCCACCTGTTTTATGGGACTGTTGAAAATTTCCTGTTTTGTATGTAAAAATGGTTGGATTTCACAAGGCTCATGCTATTGTGTATGAATAGACTCTGAGACACTCTCTGCTATTGTGCCTGGAATGCATATGTGGGGAAAGGACAGATCAGAATTTGCATCGTACAGGTGATGGTTTGGGGTTTGGGCTTGAGAGTTTGTTTGCAAAAGTAAATAAAAGGATTTGCAAATATGTAAAGAGGAGAACTGAGCTCTCTTGGCATAGTGGGTTAAGTAGTTGGCTGCTAATGGAAAAGTTGGTGGTCTAAACTTATCAGCCACTACTCAGGAGAAAGATGTGGTAGTTGGCTTCTGTGAAATTGTATAACCCTGGAAATCCTCTGGGGCATTTCTCCTGTACCCTGTGGAATGTAGAGCCCTGGAAAGCCTCTGGGGCATTTCTCCTGTGCCCTGTAGAATGTAGAGCCCTGGAAACCTTCTGGGCCAGTTCTCCTCTGCCCTGTAGAATGTAGAGCCCTAGAAACTTCTGGGGACAGTTCTCCTCTGCCCTGTAGAATGTAGAGCCCTGGAAACCTTCTGGACCAGTTCTCCTCTGCCCTGTAGAATGTAGAGCCCTGGAAACTTCTGGGGACAGTTCTCCTCTGCCCTGTAGAATGTGTAGCCCTGGAAAGCCCATGGGGCAGTTCTCCTGTGCCCTGTAGAATTACTCTGAGTCAGAATTGACCCAACAGCAGTGGATTTGGTTTGGGGATTTTGGTAAGGAGAAGGACAGTGTAATTGGCAGAGATCGGTTTACATAATTAGGGTTAGGCAATTGCAAGCTAGACAGCTGCTCAATAGCTTTTGGCACCAAAATATATATCCCAGCTGGGATATCATTAACGCTTAACAGTTTCATCCTTATGACCACATCTTGGCCAATTAGGTAGTCTTTGACCACCAAAGGGTACAATACATCCTGCTATAAGTGTCACATGCATTACATCAATATATTGTATAATATACACTAAATATAAATGCATTGGCTCTGTGGAACACCATGTTAGATTGCATGACTAAACAAGAATAGAACTAAAATATAAATTGATTTCCTAAAATAAAAGAATAATTATTCTAGAAAACCTTTTTTGTGTGTGAAAGTAAAGCAATCCAATACATAGAATAATTTTTTAAGTATTTTTTTTAAGAAGTATTCCATAAAAAGAAATCGATCTGGTGACAGTGTCTCACAGCGCATGCATACAAATAAATACAGGCAAGAGGAATGCAATGGCTAAAAGACAACGATGGAAGTATCTGAGCTGAATGCTACCTGTGGTGTTAAAACAAACCTTGGTCCAAAGTCATAAATCTGTGGGGTATTTTAACAGATGTTTCTAGCTAACTAATCTCTAAAGAGCATCTTTACATCTTGAGACAGACAAAAAAATTAGGGTAAAATATTAGACATTTGAAGGACACAGAAAGTTTCCAGAATGCTCATACATTAAAATTTAATATCTTGAAATTTTGGAATATTTTCAGAACTTGCAATTGCAGCATTTGTTGAATAAAATTTATAATGTAATATGTTTCTTCAGGGGCAAAACACAGTCATCCAAAGACAAAAATCCTACTAACTACCTGATCCAAAATGCAGGTGCATAAAGAATTTCACCTGTAACTTGTTTCAACTATAAATTATTTAAAGTTTATTTACTTCACCATCCGCTGAAATATTCCAATGATTTCCAGGATCATCTCTGGGTTGTCCTTTAAACCATGTAGCTGGCCATCATCTTCCTTCCATAATATATACATTTTGTTTGCCTATTGGTAAATGTTCCTCTTCCTTGTAAGACACTAAAAACAACTTTCAAGTTTCTTTTAGTGTCTTACATTAAGAACTTTATATGCAGAATATAAAAAACAAGGAGGCAACCGAGTTACTTCTTAAGTCTATGAAAACACTTAACCATTGGATAGAAGTCCAAGTTTACATTACCTAGAATGCAAAGGCAGCTACAAGTATGATGAATCCTCCCTAAAAATACCTGAACTCCTTTTTGCTGGTTCTGTGATGAACTATTTAAAGAAGGTCATTTTTATTTTTTGTTTGTTTCCTTTTCTTTGGATGGAGAGCATTTATCCAAACTTGGAGACACGAGATCCTGGAATATTAGTAGTGGAAAGGACTTTAGCAATTACCTAGCTCGATCTCCTCATTTATAGATGAAAAGTTGAGGTGGAACGACCGTCTATGACAGCCAGTTGGTAGGACAGCCAAGACTGGATTCCAAACAGGTACTGAGAACTAGCTCAATGCCGTTCCCTCTAGATGGCACTATCTCACAAATACTGTTAAAACCACCTTTCCCTTCAGATACGTGTGCCTGATTAATATTTCCAGACTAACAATCAGTAACTTTGTTGTGGTGGTTTTGCTCTTGATAGGTCATAGTAGGATATCTTTTTAAGTTGAAAATCCCGGAACAAAGGAATCCTGGGCATGGAAATCTTCCTGCTCGAGGTATCCATCCCTGTGGTCTGTCTTTATCTGGCATTGGCACTCCTTCACCAGCATCACTACCTTGACCACAGGGGCCAGGCCAGTGCAGTTCAAGGACAAGTGCATCATAGTGAACTTGGTAGGCAAGCAGTGGGAGCAGGAGGCATGGGCGCGCTGCACAGCTCCAGGAAGATTAGCAGACCCACACTTCCCAAAACAAAGGTGGTTCTGGACAACTACTTTTTCACAGTCTTCATGAGTGATAGTCTAAAAGGCAAACATATTTTCTCACATTAGTGTAGTCATTTCTTTAACCCATATCAGGCAGAAGCTATAGATTGTTGAACTGCAAGGTCGCCTATTCAAACTCACCAGTGGCTCCTCGAAAACCCTATACAGGTCACTGTGAGTCGGAATCGACTCGACAGCACTTAACAACAACAACAACGTAAGGGGCACAGCACTGCCTCAACTAAACATTATTGATTAAGTTGTAAGTGAATAAATTAAAAATAAACAGTTGTTATCAAGTCTGCTATGTCTCCTGGCAACCGCGTGTGTACATGTGCATCAGAGTAGAACTTTGTCCATGGGGTTTTCAATGGCTGATTTTCAGAAGTAGATTGCAAGGACTTCCTTTCCAGGCACTCTGGTTGGACTCAAGCCTCTAACCTTTTGTTTGGTGCTGAGAGCATTAACTATTTGCACCATTCAAGGACTCCGAATTAATAAGTTGTTGCTAATGTTGTTGCTAAGTGCCATTGAGTAAGTTGTAAAGAACTCAGCAACTCTGTTTAGGGTTTTTGGGGAGCAGCTGGTAGGTTTGACGTGCATACCTTGTGGCTTGCAGTCCAGTGCTTATCCTACAGTGCCACATCAGGTCTCCAAATTTGGCTTTAGGAAATGCCTAGGTAAACATGGAAATATTTTATCCTATGTTTTAAAAGCCAGACTACAAGAAGTTTTGACAAAAATTGAATGTCACCAATTGGAAATGTTCTAACAGCCAGCTTCTATTATGGATAATGGTCTTACCTTTCTGTTCCTCATGTTGCATTGTGCAGAACATGTTCTCAATACATGTGTGTTGAACTGACCACAGAAGAGATCAGAGCATCATGAGTTTTATTCTATTCTGTTTTGCAGTACATTCAAGAGGAGTGCAGTGGCTCCATATGGTAAGCACTGGACTGCGAACCACAAGGTTGGTGGTTCAAGCTCACCAATCACTCTATGGGGGAAAGCTGAGGCTAGCTGCTTCTGCAAAGATTTATAGCCTCGGAAATCCTATACAGGGTCCCTATGTGTCTGAACCGATTCCATGGCACTTAACAACAACAACATAGTACATTCAAAGGACCCCTGGTACCGCAGTGGTTACACACTTGTCTGCTAACCAAAAAGTCAGCAGTTCCAACCCTGCGTCTGCCAGTCCACGGGAGAATATGAGGCAGTCTGCTTCTGTAAAGATCACAGCTTTGGAAGCCTTTCTACTCTATCCTCGGGAGTCCTGGTGTGGTGCGGGGGGATAAAGCACTAGACTGCAAGGTCGGTTTGAACCACAAGGTCAGCCGTTCAAACTCACCAGCCACTCTTTGGAAACCATAGATAGGGTCGCTATGAGTTGGAACCGACTCAACGACACTTAACAACAACAACTCTATCCTACAGGATCCCTATGAATCCGAATTCACACAACAATGGCAGTAGATATATATTGTTTTGGTTTTTAGTAGTACATTTGACTCTACGGAGCAAAGTTGTAACACATATGCCTGCATCATGCATTATGCTGCCGTTGCCTCTCCCTAACCCCAGACACCTAGCTTTATGTGTCCTTTGAAATACGTAAGTCAGACACTTTAATTTTAATTTAATTAGCAATAGTATTCAAAATAATCATTTCAAAGGAAATTTGATTGACTGATTCTTAGGAGCAATTTTTAAATTGCATATGGGCCAACAAAAAAGTCATTATTTGATAATTGACGTATTGCTACATAGCCTTGTCTTTACAAGCAGAACACTTAAGTGGCCCACATAGTCAGTCACTGGCTTCATATAATACAGCCTGCTTAATTGGGTAGCATGGCTGGACTGGAAGATTTCACTCCACTCTGCCTTTTTGTTTTCAGTATCTCTGTATTTAAGAAGATGATGATTTTCCATTTTAATTTAACACTGTGAATTAGGGTTTGCCCAGACAGGAGAAAAAGACAGTAGATGTCCCTTCGTTTAATAGTCTGAAATTGATCACAACCACCAAAAAAGTCAGTCAGTGTAACATGGATTAGGAGATAGTTGCTTGTAAGGGAAAGCAATGAAATTTCACATCAAGATTTTTTTATTTTATTTGAAAACTAAATAAGTTAAGACCAATATATTTTAGTTATGGTAATACTAGTGCGGTGCTGTAGGATAAGCATTGGACTACAAACTCTAAGGTTGGCAGTTCATACTCACCAGTTGCTCTTCAAAAGCCCTACAGTATGAGTTAGAAGCAACTCAAAGGGACTTAACAACAACAACAACAATGATGTAGTTATGTGCAAAATATGAAAATTAAGAGCATGGTAAATGTGGACGAGGGCTTGCAGGGAGGGGTCCAATGTATTCCACCCTGTCTTTCCATGGTGTTGAGTTGTTCGTCTCCCTCTTAGTAGGGCACAGAGATGTAACTAGAGAGAAATTCTGGTGACTGCTCCAATTCTCCATTTCCTAGCCCAGGGGGCACTATTACTTGTCTCTCTGTGTAACCCATCCTCAAAATAAAAACAAAGAAATAAAATCCCATAAAACAAAGCTTTTGCCATAAATATGAATTATTACCGATTAGCAGTGCCATTATACCCTTGTCGTACCATTTTCAGATACCAAGAAACCATGAAAAAGCCGGAAGTAAATTTAGCAAGTATGACCATATTTTGCCAAATCCTATGATGAATGCCCAAGAACCATATGTAGGAGTTGGGTCATGCGCCGGCTCTGGAAGCCTCCTGCCCATCTTTCCACTGCCCTCCAGGGCCTCTCCCCTCTCCCCACACAGCATACCTGGCTGAAGGGTACTGTTCGACAGGTCTCCTGATGCACTTCGTGGCTTTTAATGGGCAAGATGACCCCCTGAGAAGTGGGGCTCTTTCTGAACATGAAGTAGTTCCAGAATTTCTTGGCCTCTTCCCGAAGAGGAGATTTCTCCATTTCTCTCCCATCCACCGGCTGAGGGTGGGCCTGGGTCACAGGTGGCACACTGCGCTCACTGACGGAATCCCCAGACAGATGCTGTTTTCTCTCAGACTGCTCCCATAAGTTCCCCAACCTGGACAGCATCTTCTCTCTCTGTCTCTGGCCTTCCATGGCAGGACTGGTGCCCAGCAGGTGTGGCATTGCCACAAACAGATCTGGCTTCTCCTCAGCCTCCTCGTGGTTGCCCATGGGGATCTCCCCATGACTCCTTTCTAGAAGCTCAAAGGAGAGAGAATGCTGACTCTGGAGGCCATCTTGGTGCCGCCCTGCCTGCCCCAGAGGCAGGACCAGCAGTAGCAGTAGAAGATGCATGCTGTTGTGGATACAAGCTTCCTTTCCAATTCGCAGATGGTGAGACTAATTTTCTGCAGAAGGTAAAACAAGGGAATCCTATATATAGCTAGTTGTCTGTGGGATGGGGAGGCAGGTGCTTTAGCCAGGCACAGTAAGCACATTTATTGTTTGCTTAAATTATGTAGTGCTAATGGTATCCTGTGTTCCCTTTGGTTTTGTGTATTTTAGAAGATCTGAGTGAAAGCCTAGAGACCAGGGGGTAATTAGCTGGCAGATTAGCTGTCTGAGATTTACAGAGCAGGTAGTAGCCAAAACAACACATTCTTTCCCCAGTTTCCCAGCTCAGTTATTAGAAGGACCAACAATTTGCTGTGCATCCACATTGAGGTAGAAATGACAAGATGTGTTTTTATTAGAAAACTGTATCCAATAAAAACGAAAGGTATCCATTTAGCAAAAACCCAGATCTCTATAAATGCTATTAACACATTCATATTCACACACACATGGGACCAATGAAGATGTTTATCAAAATTAAAGCATTAACACATGTTAACTGTTCAGCAGAAGACACAAAAAGTCTCTCATATGTGGATTGGGAGTTTGGATTCTTGTATGGTATCAGAGTGAGGAAATACCATCTCCATTTCCACACGTTGTTGTTAAGAGCTGTCGATAAAGGGAGAAGAGCACAAGTGGAATGCAGGACCCTATCCAGAGATGCAGGCACACCAGAGATAGCGGCAGAGATGGGGACATGGAGAGAGGGAGCAACTGAGGATGCTAGATTCTTGGGAAGAGAGAGACTGAGAGCTGGTGGCCAGGAGGCAGGCTTGCAGAAGGTGCCCTTTGGAGGTGTGAATTATTATATATGCCTGAGTGATTAAAAAATTTAAAAAGAGCTGAAGTGAATAGAGAGAAATACCGTTAACTTATGGTACATGGAGGGGATTATAATCATGGTAATGAAACAAAGTATATGATTTGTTGAATGTAAAACTGATGGTCTGCCTTGTTAATTCATAATAAAAAATATTAAAAAAAAAAAAAAAAAGCTGTCAAGTCTGTTGCAACTCATAGTGACCCCGTATAGGGTTTCTGAGGAGCGGCTGGTGAGTTTGACCCGCTGACCTTGTGGTTCAAACCAGTCTTGAAGTCGAGTGCTTATCCTATGGTGCCACACTATAACTCCATTTCCACACATGGGAACTCATAATTCCCAAGTTAATTTCCACACAGTAAGAATCAAATTGTTGTTGTTTTTGTTGTTAAGTGCCGTCCAGTCGGCAATAATCAGTGCTAAATTCCACAACTGATCAGATAAACCTTTTCAGTTTGTTAATTGATTCCAAATTTCCCAACAGAATCCAAAGGAACAGACATACAGTTCCTCTGTCTTCAGTGAGTACACAGAGCTGTCTCCCTCAAGACATCCTATAGATTTTCTTTCTCTTTCTCTTTCCTTAGACAAAGACCTAGACTTGAGAACATGGATTCCAAAAGACAGGTTTGATCAGTTTGGGGCCTTAATTTGTCTGGCCAGTTCCTTTCCGTTACCGAATGAATCCACACCAACTACCCCTCATTGTACAATAATTGATAAGCAGTCTAAATAAACATTGAAACAAAAGTGAGTATTCTGGGATCCAGAAGAAAAATTGTTAAATTTTTATCACACAAAAAAGTTCTGTCATAAACCAGCCAAAGTTATGAGAAAAAAAAACACATCCACAAAATTGAATTCCATGATTCTGATTAACTCAAAACAGCATTGCTTCCATTGGGGACTGATCCCATACATGCTTATGTTTCTCTGTTTTATTTGATAATCACATTCCTTGTTAATAGGTTCCCAATGACTCTGAAACATGTCTTCTTTTTGCAGTACTGATTTAGATTTTCTTCTGAGAACTGATCCATTGGAATCTTCTCTCTAGGCACTTGTGCTCTTCTTAACAATGATACCTGGTTTCTATGAGGAAAAGTCCCTTTCCATGTAATAATGAGCTATTTACAAAGGAACCATCATGTTTCCAGAGTTCTAGAAGAAGAGATAAATTCATAGTTACCCTATACAGAGCTTCTGAGGCTATAAATCTTTAAGGGAACAGAAAGCCGCATCTTTCTCCCGAGTAGGTTCAAACTGTTTCTTTATGGTTAGCAGTACAACTCGTAACCCAATATGCTACCCAGTCTCCCTCAACAAATGCCCACAGAATCCAAGCTATCATTAATCAAGGTAAAACTGATTCATAGTAAATGAGAAATATTATTTGCCATTTCTTTTAAAGACCTCTTCAGTTTTTTAAAAATTGTTGAATTTCTCAATGTCTCTCATCCATCCAATGCAATGGATCCTTTTTCCTAATACATGTATATGAATAAAGTGTGGAAACCATAACAGCTTTCCAGAGTCTTTTTAAAGTTTTCTTTTCAGTTACTGAGTTTCCGTTGTCATTAGTCACAGTAATCAACAAGTCTTAAAACTGAAAACAGAGATGCCACTTGGGGTCTCAGATTGCTCAGCACTGGAATTACTGAACATGGGATTTCCTGTTGTTTTGAATAAAGGCCATCAACTTGGTTCCCATCCCTAGCTACCCTATGCACAATAGAACAAAGCTATACCCGATTCTGTGTCATCCTCACAAAAGTCATGCTTGAGCCAATTGCTGCTGCCACTGTGCCAATCCATCACGTTGGGGTCTTCCTCTTTTTTGCTGATCCTCCACTTTACAAAGTATGATGTCCTTCTCCAGGGATTGATTCCTTCTGATATTATGTCTCAACTATGAAAGACAAAGTCTAGTCAACTTGGCTTCTAAGGAGCAGTCTAGCTATACTTCTTCAACATAGAATTGTTTGTTCTTTGGCAGTCCA